CTCCCAGAATTCCCCAGCCAGCATGCTGGCTGGGGAATTCTGGGAGTTGAAGTCCATACATTTTCGAGCTGCCAAGGTTGAGAAATACTGGTGTAAGGAATTCTGCTACAGAAATTGGTTCTTCTTTGCATCAGGCAGAAGCCCAACTCATAATCCAACATATGAGGTGCAGAGTGCAGCACTGCCATCCACAAATACAACATCTGTCTGAAAGTGCAGGACTCCAGCTCATATGGAAGTCCTACTGCAGACAGTCACACCGTTCCAATAGGCACTGGCTCTTAAATGATGTCATCAGCATGGTTCAGAGAGGAGAGTGGTATAGACCTATACACAAGAAGGTATAATCTTAGTAGATCTCCAGATTAAGAATATCTTTTTTATTTCCCCAGAAGTTTTTTAAAAGAGTTATTAAATGCTTTTCTGCTGGTAACTTTATTATTTAACTTTATTTATTATGGTTAACCCACTGCAGCATTAAAGCAACTTTTAATTTTTTCTCTGTAATATTGTCTTTATTGTTTTAGATTAATTTGTTTTATATTGTATGTACAATATCCAGGAAACTGATTGCCATAGGTGATGTAGAAATGTAATAAATCAATAATAACATTGTCCATATGACTTAACGTTGAAATTGGCCACGGTGGCTGAGAATGATGGGAGTCATAATTCAAATGTTTGGAGGGCACCAGTTTGGGGAAAGCTGAAAGAAAGACAATGAGCTGCAAAACACCATACACTCTCAGCACAAAAGATGGTTTGAGAAGACAATACTATGGAAAGATAGCCTTCTTCAAATACAATAAGAATTGTTCAACATTGGATTCATTCATTAAGTGGTAGCTTCCCTTCACTTGATGTGTTCAAGCAGAGGGAGGACAGCCATCCATAAAGGATGCTTTAACGTGGATTCCAGTAGAGAATACAGAGTTGGACTCAGTCACCAAAAGGTTCCTTTCTAACATTTATGATTCTGTGAAATCATTAGTATACTTATGCTGAACTTGCTAGTATGTGAATGTGTAGATGCAATGTTAAAGCATTTATTGTAACTAGATGCTACACAATGTAAGTGAAAGTGAGGCCTGTGAAAGTGTACAGAAAAACATGGAAGAATTACTTCTTTCCTGATTCAAACATTAGTTTCAGTGAAGGCAAATAATTGCTATTGTGCTGGCTTTATTTTCTTGAAATGGATGTGCAAATTTTGGGGGGAGGGAAGGTATGCCAATTTTTACCTAGTACCAAAGAGAAAGCATGTAATTCAGAATGGCAGGCAGGAGAAATTCAATTCCATGAGAAGGAACATGTCCACTTGATAAACAGAAACCAGGGGGCATTACATTCACTTTTCCATTTCAGAACCTGGCAAACATCTTTTCAGTCAGCTCACTGACTGCTATCCTTTAAACAACTTGGACCAGAGGAGACATTCAGAGGGACAAGGAAAATGTGTGCTCCATCTAATCTCGGATGGTGTCTGGTGAATCTCATCTACAGTTTTATAGATCTGACTTGAGAATTTTCCCTCCAGAAGCAAACTGAGTCAGCTGATCAGGCAGGGGTATCTACCGCAAGCTGAGATTTCATCAACATGAAAAAAACCCCACATCTGATGCTACAATGCAAATTTTGCAGTGACACAAGTACAAAAGGTGTAGAATTTGCATCACAGCTTCATGATGCACTGTTCATTTTCTCTCTTTCCCTGCTGTAGATACCCAAGTGATCATGTGATGCAAAGCAGAACCATTGGTCCACAGATAGATGGTACCTCACTTCCCCCTCTATTCTCATAGAGTGCTTGAAAACTTTAGATGCCCCAGAGTAACAAGGCCACTTTCTTTCAGTGTGAAACATAATAAAACCAGCCTTTTCTAACATGGTGCCCTGTATCTGTATTGGTACTACAATTTCTCTTTTGCCATATTTGGTGTGAATTTGAATTCTGGAGTTATAGTCCCACCCACCTGAAGGATAATAGTTTAGAAGAAACTAAGCCATTCATCAATCCTAAAGAATCTTGCGATAATTTTTTAATTGTCATTTGATAAAAGAAGACTATTTGATGGCATCTTCTCTAGTTAATACACCAGCATGACTATTTTATAATGGAACTCTTCATGCTATTGCTTTATTGATAATTATTGCCACCAATAAATGCATGTCCCCTGGTGCAGGCTCCTTCTGACTAACACAAATGGCTACCCATCTGCTAAAAATTATCCTGTATTTAAATTTAGAATTTATAGTGATACCAAGATAAAGAATATTGTAAACATTTTTAAAAAATCTGTAGCTTGATTAGGAAATGTAACAGTAGGAAATTGAGATAGGAATACCATATAATTGTTGTTCATTTTGTAATCTACTGATAATTAAGCTTCACCTTTATTAGCAATGTGATAGAAGCTTGGCAGATGCTGTTTCTCCTGGCATTACCTGGCAAATTTTTCTCTGTCAGTTGACATTTAAAGACAAAGATGTTTGGCTGGATAAATTGCTGGTAATGTAAACCATACTAATACATCAGAGGTGCATTTAGGAGACAAGGCGGAACTTACTTTTAGCAAGCGATGGTCCTTAGTCTCTTTTTTCTTCTTACTGTAGATCACAGGAAAAGAGGGAAATGGGGGAGCTACCACAATTTGGCTCACAGTTTTTTGTTCTCTGTTATCACCCTGGTTTCGGTGCTCTGTAAGCAATAACAAGAGCATTGTTCAGCAAGATATAAATTTAAAAATAGGCTCCTGACATAAAATACCTGTATTTCAATCCAGATGCGCTGCATGGTAACTACACTTAGTTATGAATTACATACAGTAACTGTCTATACATAGTTCTGCCAATATATTTTGACTTTCGGAATGATTATCCTCATGTTGTAAATGGTATAGTTACTGAGAATGAAAATGTGGGTTTCTCTAAAGTCTCCTAATGAATTCACGCCACAAACACAGATATTTGATTGGAAGTATCTCTAAACTGCTACATTATCTCATTCAGTGAAAAGTGGTGGAACTTTCTAAAAAAGTGGCTCCCTCAGTGATAAAGCCAGTTTGGTGTAGTGGTTAAGGCATCAGGCTAAAAATTGGGAGACTATGAGTTCTAGTCTGCCTAAGGCACAAAGCCAGCTGGGTGACCTTGGGCCAGTCCCCTCTCTCAGCCCTAGGAAGGAGGCAATGGCAAACCACTTCTGAACAACCTTGCCAAGAAAACTGTAGGGACTTGTCCAGGCAGTCACCTGGAGTGAAAAACTGACTCGAAGGCACAAATGCTTACTTACAAATATTCCTCAACTAATTCCTTTTTCTCTATCACTTTGCTTTTTATTGGATTCTATGATGAAACTTATACCTGTGAAAAATGTAACACAAAAAAGACAAATTCTGTTTTCATTTGTTCTCCTTCATTTAGTACCTGCCACTAATAAAGCCGACATGGTAATGAATGAAGATGTTATGATGTAACTTTGACTATCCAGAGACAAAAAATTGCTCTACAAATGATGTAAAACATCTAAGGCAAACTTGAATGTGATTGTATTTTGATAAAAGGTTTTAAAAATAACAGTACAGTAGAAGTATAATGTATAGCTTAAATTATATATGGCATTAGCTTTTGGAAACATATTAAAGGTCTGGTCTTAGTATATTTTTGTTTTATATTCTCTGTTTAAGAAATTATTTCCTGACCACAAGATGGCAGAAGAAGATTAAATTTATCTAAAATAGCTATGATGCAGAACAGCTAACATACAGAACAGCTCTATTATAATGTTAATATCACTATAATAATATTTTCCTTTTTAGCTCTTTGCAATGCTTTTAAAATAAGTCTTACTCTCTATTTACTAAGAAATTATTTAATATATTATTTTAAAGCAGTTACCCACATTTTTAATATGCTATTATTTTTCTTAAATGATAGGAACTGCACAGCTTATTTATATTAATATCCAAGGGCAGAATAAATTTTTAAGAATTCAAAAGCAGAATCTATCAACTATTCCTATCAGATGGAATGAAATCTAAGTCCTCAGGTACATGTGTATTCCAATGGGGGAAGGGGGAATAAATTTATGTACAATAGACCTCATCTAAACTTATTGCCTTAGCAGATGGCAACAACTAACCAAGCTTACCTTGAAAAAATGTTAAAAACAGTTTAGACCTGGTGAATAAACTTGGAGGAAAGACTGCCAGGAAATACCAAAATGTGGGCAAGATTGAGAAATTGAGAAAACAATGAAAGAAGACAATGGCAAACTATTATATTGTTCTAAAATAGCTACATGGACCTGTTCATGAAAACACCAAGAGCTGGCTTGATGTGAAGATGACATGATTTGACTTAATTTATTACAGATGAATGTTGTGTGGTTGGCTTCTCCAATATTATTGAATTGCTAGCTGAAAGTAATGACAGGGTTTTATTTTTCCTAACCAGTTAATCAAAGTTCCTGGAAGACTAATGTATACTTTATAGACCTGACCAATTAAAAAAAATTAAAGGCAAGCTGGTTTTCAAATTCACATTCCTGCAAAGTGATACGCTCAGTGATCTGTAGTACTGTTTTACAAGTGTGTTTTCAGACAGAAAAACAATGATCCTTGTACAAGAGAGGTTTTGGTAGCAAAGATAAACTAGCTGAGTGGGTTTTAGTGTAAGGATGAGATGAGAAGAAAAATTTCAAGACCTAAACTGGCCTTCCCCTGTATTTTGCAGCCTTCCCAGAATTTAAAAAAATTAAAATGTCAGAGACAACTCGGTCATACTTAGATTGGCTTTGTTGGACCTGTGACCTAACCAGTGAAAGACAGCTGATCAAAGTAAAGATGAATTAACATCCTATTAGAGAGAAACATAATCTATCATGGGCTACTATTTCATTAATTACACCAGAACATATATTTGGATTTTTGTAAATTATACAGAAAAAAAAAATTACCCCTCCTCAAGGCTCTCAAGTTCAGCTTGGCGTGGCGATGCAGCTCCTCTACACACGCTGGTCTGGTGGAAGGAAGGAAAATGTTTCTCTCCTGGTGCCAAGGTGCATGGTAATAGACATTCAGTTTGCTTTCTGCATCCAGGTTTGAGACAGCTGTAGAATCAAATGAAGAGGATACTTAGGCATTTCCAGCAATGCCCTTATTTTTAAATGCAATTATCTACGTACATCTGTATAATCCCAAATATCAATATGTATTGCAGATTGCTAATAAAAAGGATCAACATACTCTATCATTTGAAAACAGGAAAAAGTGTATACATAAACTGCTGAAAGAAAAGCGTTCTTTAATTCATCGACTTTCAGAAATATTATGATGCTAATGTATATATTATATACATATATATTATATTCTTCGAATCTGAATTTTAAAGAAACCCATTAAAATACTTTAAATAAACTACAAATATAACAGAAGGAGAAACAAAATAAAGCATAACATCATTTTTAGGTATGATTATGTATTTATGTGTACATTGTCATAATTATTTTATATCTTGACATTAGCTTTTTTTAGGTCTTAGGTAGCTACAAAAAGTGTGTTATTTTTAGATCATCTGATAAATCACCAAATTTTATTTTTGTTTCATCATTTCAGCGGTAAAATAAATTTTTATGGCTAGTTTGTAAACTGAACACATTTCCTAGCATATATTTCTAATATTCACCAGTAACTCAAAAATATGGATACATGATAATTATGAGATCATGGATGTAAATGTAAAGCAAAATAATATGCAGCATGAGTATGTCTGACAACTATTGGTACAATCTGAACTCTGGTAAATGCTTCCAGTAAATGACCCAGTGTTGCTTGTTTTCTCTCATTCACTGATAAGATAACCAGCACCAAATGTGAATTAATTGGTGTAAAAATGTCCTTTGAATTATGTTCTCTTATTCCTTCAAATCACTCATCTGACTACATTTATGACCTTGCAGATCTCAAGAGGCATGATGCTAACTAAATAAAGGATGTGAAAGGCCTTTACTACAGTAAAAGAAAGCACTGAAACTAATAGGGGACAGAGGCTGCTGAGAACATTAAGCAACTCTTTACACTGGGAATATTAACTGAGTCTAGGACTGGGGTTGGATGTTAAAGGTAGCTCACAGCCAATAATACCTGGAACTACTTCTGCACATTCATAAGAGAATACTAGGGCAGCATTAAAATATAACTCGCAAGGTAGTACAGCCAGGCTTGTCATTGTATTTGTGGCCTAGAAGAAAAACTAGGCTAAGTTACTTATTTGTGAAACAGATTTAATGTTGATTCCAAGTAACAGTTTTTAAAAGATGCTTCCTCTTGGATTTATTTAGATTTATTTTACAGCATGTCTAGGCTACTCCTTCCCAAGGGACTTTGGGCAGCAAACAACTGAAAAAGAGCAATACATTTAAAACAAGCCACTACTAAGACAATTAAATTCTTATTAACAACCATAATGGCATTCCCATTCAGCTAGGACCAAAGGCACAATGGAGAAACAGTGCTTTAACCTGCTTATGAAAAGCCAGCAAGCTGAGAGCTGCTGATACCTACATAAAGTGGGGGATCCTACTGAGAAGGCTTCCCACCTTGTCCACACCCCATGATCTTTAGCAGGTACTCCTGGAAAAAAATGAACCAGGTAGGCAGTAGGCAGGTTCTGTTCTGGTAAGGTGTTGCCTAGTATAACTTGATGCTATACTGTGTAGAGTGTATAGGGCTTTAAAGGTAACAACTAACATATTCCATTGGGCTTAGAACACTATTGCCAACCCATGGAACAACTTTCAAATAGGCATTTTTCCGCACTGGCAGGATTAAGCTGCCATCCTTTTGTGCCAGCTGTAACTTTCATATTGTTTCCTAAGACAGCCCAATGTAGAATGCATGGCAGTAGTTCAGCTGAATGATAATTAAGTGTCACCAGAGCTGGTACATCAGCCAAAGCTAAGTGAAGACTTCCTGGTCATGGTTTCCACCTTCTGTCTAAGCAGGAACAGTAATAATATGTTTAATCATGGTTTACTCAATTGGCAGGATTCATACAATATGCAAAGGCCTCACCCATGTTTTACAAACCACAATGTCTGGGTTTATATAATATGCTAAATTAAAGCCAAATAAACTGCATTATATCTTACAACAATGTATGAATAGATTGTTTGCTCCCAAACAGAAACAAACAGCTTCTCATCTCTTGTGGTGCATTATAGAAGACAACTGAGTATGTTAGCTCAAGAATGACAATATCTTATTCATATTATACCCAGGGGTCATGATTTTCTATTATACCTAAACCAATAAAAATGTTCTCTATCTCCTGATCATTCATGGCTTTTTATCACATTCTTCCAATTGTACTCTTTTCATGATTCTCTTTAGAAATGGTATGGCCTTACATCTTCATGAATAAGAACTATGGTTAATGCCATTCCCATTATCAGAATGAAAATCTAGGATTTGCAAAGGACTTGCAAGTTCTAGTGATGAGTGAATTTACTTACTGATAAACATAGTAGTGCTGATGTTACAGAAAAGGTGGAACTCTGAGCATATGGGACAGGCTACATTGGCGTGGACAAGGGGAGGTACATGCATCATGATACAACTGGAACAAAATGATGAAGTGTGACTTCACTGGTAGCCTATGACAAGCTGCCTAATCATGGGTTAGATTAGGATAATTGGTTTTGTGATTGAATTTAGACATAAACTCCTAAGAAACAACCTCTACTTAAGTAACATGTGAAGAAAGTGGAATTGGAATTTGTAAATTAGTTTCCAATTGGAAACTTATCCAAGCATGCTATTGCACGCATATTCACTATGGGATAGCATAGTGGCCATGTACCCAAACATAGGGACTTACAATATAGAGAGGCCCTGTTTGCCAATGCCACATTAGACTTTTGTAGAAATGCATGAAACAGCCAAGTAAGAAAGATTAGTCCTAAGCAATTGGGACGTATAATAAGACTCCGAACATTATTCATTATTATTTATTATTATTATTATTA